GCTGTGTCCCTGTAGTATGCTGTTTTAAGTCCTTTGGGTATAGACCAAGGAGAGGGATAGCTGAGTCAAATGGTGGTTCCATCCCTAGTTTTCCAAGGAATCTCCATACTGCTTTCCATATTGGCTGCACCAATTTGCAGTCCCACCAGCAATGTATGAGTGTGCCTTTTCCTCCACATCCTCGCCAACACTTATTGTTGTTTGTATTCATAATAGCTGCCATTCTGACTGGAGTGAGATGATATCTTAGAGTAGTTTTGATTTGCATTTCACTAATTGCTAGAGATGATGAACATTTTTTCATATATTTGTTTATTTATTATATTTCCTCTTCTGAGAACTGTCTGTTCAGGTCCTTGACCCATTTATTAATTGGGTTATTTGTTTCTTTGGTGCTTAGCTTTTTCTAATCCCCCTTCTACTAAACTGCTATGACAGCTATACAGAAGAGTCATCTGGCACATCTTATATGCCATCTTATGAAGTTAAGGGGGGCTTGCTCTTTGTGTTGCTGTCTCATCTCCCCAAACACAATATAAGGTATTCAGGATGTTTTGTGTCTTTGAATCTCCCCAATGTTGTTGTTTGTGTGTTTATTTGCAGTACTGGAGATTGAACCCAAGGCCTCACACAGACTAATTAAGTGCTCTACCACTGAGCTATATACCCCCAGATCTTTTTATTTTGTTTTTTTGAGACAGGGTCTTGCTAAGTTGCCCAGGTTGTCTTCAAACTTGTGATCCTTCTGCTTCAGCCTCCTGAGTAGCTTAGATAGGAATGTGCTACTGTGCCTGCTGAATCCCCCCTCAATTTTAAACAAAGTAACATGAGTTACAATATAAGCCCTTCATGGTAGGGGCTTTATCTGGTTTGTTTTCTAAAGGTAGCTCCTAGAATCCTGCTTTGACACAAAGCATATACTCAATAAACAATTACTGAATGAAAGAATAATCATATTAATACTATGTGTTTAAAAGAAATTTGTTCAATTGAATAGTACTATTAAGATAATCTTAGCTATAACTATGCTTTTAATTTTTCAATAGCTGTGTGATTTTTATCAATGACCCAAATCTATGACTCTGTAGCTTAGCATTGTCCTAAGATACATGAAGAACTTCCCTGCCCTGCCCCCAACATGAACTAGAATCAGTTTACATTCCCTAGGAATCCATGCTTTACCAAATACTCCACTTCCCAATATTTGCAGACTTACTTTTATTACACCTTCTTTTAATCTGAGCATGGCTTTCTCTATAAAATGGTTAATCTTGCCAAAGACCAGGATTGTTGTTTGATTCCATCTCTATCAGTTCACACAGTGGTACAGCCAAGCAGGCCTCCTCTAGCAGTGGTGAGGACCAAGGTAAATTCAGCTCACTGGCTTTAGGGTACATGCTGGTTGGGGGTATAGTAAACACATCACTTTGTGTCAAGATCATCCACTCTCAGATGATTGCTCAAAGGAGTTTTCCCCAGCTCTGAAAATCCCCTTGTCTTATATTTCTCCTTTTAAATCTCATCATTTAAGGTGAGACTTCCCACTATCATTGCTGAGAGCCACGGCCGAGTCTGTATGGCCCCTGGCATTTTGCCAACAGTATTGATTGACAGGCGAGGCATTACTATCCTCCTCTGCCGCAACTTTTGAGTTCTCGCACTATTTTGGAGTTCTCATGGGGATTTCCGGGGATTCCCCGAGAGTTCCCATTAGAACTCCAAAATAGTGCGAGAACTCAAAAGTTGCGGCAGAGGAGGATGGTAATGCCTCGCCTGTCAATCAATACTGTTGGCAAAATGCCAGGGGCCATACAGACTCGGCCGTGGCTCTCAGCATATCATGAGTCCCTTCATTTTGCCCTGTTCTATATTTGGTGAAGTCTAATAGTTTACCTTGCTTTCTCCTGTTTGTTTTTCTACAAAATCCCAGAATTCTCTAGCAATAGAAGCCCTGTGATAGGTTTCCTTCCTATGCTGCAGGGAAATATCCAGCAAGGGACTCCTCCTGCAAACCTCTTTCCTGAACTCCCATTATTATCAAGAGGGACTAACAGTTCTTTTATTCTGGTTTTTGGTTGGCAACTGATGGCAGCACCAAGTATTATTTAGGTAAATTACCAATGTCTTCTGTGTTTACTTTCGAGAGGGACTCTCATACCACCTCAGTGAACTGAGCTCCAAGAAGTGACAGCTGCAAGGCCATAAGAGTATGTGTTCACGATGAACTCAGATTGTCAGCAGGCAGTGCTCTCTGATTCACTGAGTTTTTGGTGCATGAGAAAATAAGTTGGCTCCTGGTACAACAATTAGTAATGGGTGCAATTTTCTGGTGTTTATACTAAGGATTTGTGGAATTAAATTTCTAGTGGAAAGATCAGTCTGGGTATACATTGTCCAAATGAAGTCATTCTCTTTCCCGAACAATTTTTATTTTATCTCTCTTTAAAACAAAATGCTTCATGAGTTGGTTATTTGAACTAGGTAACAGAAAAATTAAGAACATTTTGAAGCAGAAACTTAATTGAAAACTGGATTTGGATTTGGTAGGTTTTTTTAAAAAAAGATCAGATATATTCAACTCTTGCATTTAACCTGTAGATGTTAGCTATATGATTAATATTTGCCATACATCAGGTGACTCGAGTATGCAAAGGCAAACTTTTAAATCGGGCCCCCAATTCTCTCCTATTCTTGATTTTTCTATGTCCACCATCTCTTCCAGCCATTTAGATTCAAAGCCAAAGTCTACCTCCAACTCTCAATGGATTATGATTTCTAATCATTTTCCAAATCTGGTGAATTCCACCATTCCATATCTCTTGTATGGAATATTAACATAACCATATAACTGAAGTTATATCCCACACCAATCCATTCTACCTAAATCCATTTAATGCTTTATTAGTACCTTGTGAGCTGCATACAAACTCCTAAAGCAAGTATTAAGTTGCTTTCCTAATTGAGCCAATGTACTTTTTCAGTCTTCCTTCTCACCACTATCTATAATTTGGCTTCAATAAGAGTTGAAACCATAAACTCTTAAGCCACACACCTCTGTTCTTAATGACCCTTTGCTCATTCTGTTTCCTCAACCTAAAAGTAGCCCTTCAAAAGCCACTTTCCCCACAAAATCTTCTCTAATCACTCTGACCAGATCTACATTCTCTCTTGAGTCTCCACAGAGGTACTTGGGCATCTCTTATCCTGCAATCCCTGTAGTTATTTATGAACTTTATGTCCCCCTCCACCCCACTATGTGGATACTTCATGAGAGTTGAGAACTTGTCTTACTCATGCCCAAGGTTCCTGCAGCACCTTGCATACAGAAAAAGGCTTAGGACATCCCCAAAACACAGAGCATCTCTATAAAAAAGATGCTATTGGTGGAGCTACAAATGTCATGGTATCCTTTATTGTACCCATTACATGAAAACCCAAGCAAATGTCTTTTAGCCTCAGAAGCTATCACTGAAGACGGCAGCAGCCCCTGTTAAAAACAACAGTCATCAGGCAATTTTTGACTATTGGTCCACACTACATATTTCATTGCCCCTAAAATGGTGAACAATCACTTCTGATATTCAACCTGTGGAGTTTTTTTTTGATGGATCTGTCATCTTGTTTCCCATTTGAAACAATGAAACCCTCAACTAAACTGCTTTAAACAAATAAGGACATATATTGTATAAAATCATGGGAAGTAGATGAGCTCTTCAAAACAGATGATTTAAGTAACACAGTGCTATCTGTGGACTCACGGGATATTCCCATATTTCTGCTTTGCCATTCATAGATTCTACCCTATCACAAGGCTGTCCCTTTTGAATTTACTGCTAGTAACAATGGGAGACACAGCGAATCTACTCACATCTAATGGGAGAGAACAAAGGAGGCTTCTCTTCTAATTACAGAAGAAAAGTCTCTCCTTTCAGTCTTATTGGCCTGTTTAGTTCATCAGTCTAGCCCAGGATAAATAATTATGTCCAGGAAAACACCAGGCATCAATTTGCTGACGCTTAGGTTTCTAGAATAATTTCTAAAATGAAGGTTTGAGTTTTCAAGGTTGGCTAAGACTAATTAAACCATTTGGAAGAGATATAAATTACTAAAAGTAATTTGACACTCTAAAATACATAAAAAGAAGCGATAGAATGGATGCTTATAGAATAAGTAATAATTATGAACTAGAATTACTATTCAAACAATGACTGACTTTTTAAATCAAGAAACTATAATTTTTTAGGTGTAAATTTTTTTAAAAGATTTGTACAACCACTGAGTGAGATTTTGTTACACCGAGATATCAGTGTTTACCTATGGAATCTTCCTCAAGGAAGAAATGAGACTTATTTAGTGTAGATTGAATTCTATGAAGTCAGGGACTGTGCTATTTCCCATACTTAGCAGAGGGTCTGGCAAAGGGGAGATACGTTTAAAAAATTTTTCTGTTTGGATAAATAGTATAAATTTCAGTAAATGATGCATACTTGTACTAGAACAGGGCATCACACTAAAGATGAATCCTGGGTAGCAGATTCATTTAACTATGGAAGATACCCAGGGAAAGGTTTTGCAGAAGGAAACTAACTCTGTAAAGAAAAAACAACTAACTGCTGCTGTGCTCCAGGTAAGGATGTTCAATAATCCCAGCAAACATCCACAATGACATTGTAGTTGAAGAAATATCACTCTGTTTTGTTTTTTAAAAAACATAGCACTCAAACCACTTCGTTATTATCCTTCTGTGAAAGCCAAGCATTTGATCCAGAGAAGTCCTGGGTCTCTCTGGCATCTGCAAGTGAAATATGTGTTCTCAGGAGGCCTCCCAACAGAAGCCAACACATTCCTACAAAGACATCTCAAAACACCACTAACCAACCAAACAAACCGTCCTCTCCTGGATTTCCCTGTAGTGGAGAGGTTAAGCCAAAGCGTCCCCCTGTGGGCCGCCATCTTTCTGCTGACTTTCTAGATAAATGTGGCCCAGCTGTTTCACTGACCTTCCAGGACACTGGAACTTCCCGCCTCCAAATGCCATGAAGCAGTCCAAGAAAGCATGCTTCTCTAAATTTGCCTTTTTCCAGCGTTCCTGTGGGAAGAAAACATTTTTTTTTTTTCCAAATCAGCCTTATATAAATAAGCTTAACTTTATGTCTCTAGGCTAAAAATGACCTTGTACAGCTAATCCTTGCATATAAAGTTGCAGGGTTGTTGGTAATTTTTTCCAACCTGTTATTAATATCAGACACAATTGTGGTTTTGGAACAGGAACTTATAAATAAAAAGGTTGAAAAAGAATTCTGTTAAGTGGTAAATATAAATGATAACATAAATCAACCACAGAATGGACCTAAGGAGAAGTGTATTTATAATAAGGTCTTAGGCTCCATCATAAAATTGGTCTTTGTAATAAATTTAGTAATAAGACACCAACAACCCTGCCTATTAGAGAAAGCTGAGGACACAGAATGAATACATCTGGAGGCTAGTTTTGACAGTTTTACCTAAAGGCAGAGAATGAACTGAATGGCCTCCTAAGATTCTGTTCAGCCCTGTAACTCTCTAGTTATAAGAAATAGCAGATCACTGTTTTAATTTGCTTTTTATTTTGTTTATTCCTTGGAAACCAATAACACAAGCAATTTCCCAAAAAGTATGAAACAATTCGATTAGAACTGGGGGTATTTACTTTAACATGCCTCCTGTTTTCAGATTAAAAAAAATATTTTAAAGTATGGTATGCTTCTTTTTTTTATTTTTATTTTTTATTTTTTATTTTTTATTTTTTTAATTTTTTATTGTTGGCTGTTCAAAACCTTACATAGTTCTTGATATATCATATTTCACAATTTGATTCAAGTGGGTTATGAGCTCCCATTTTTACCCCATATACAGATTGCAGAATCACATCAGTTACACATCCATTGATTTACATATTGCCATACTAGTGTCTGTTGTATTCTGCTGCCTTTCCTATCCTCTACTATCCCCCTGGTATGCTTCTTCCTAAAGCATTCCTATTTGATTTGTAAGTGCTACACTGTCTACTTTGCAAATATAATCTGTACTTTGAAGCCAACTTTGTTTATGTTTATAGTTACTAGAGACATATAGCTATGTAAAAATATAGTTTAAGTTTATAACTTCCAACTCCTACCCCCCCAAAAAATATTTTTTTAAATCAAAGAGTAATGTGTATGGAAAGAGAACTTACAGGTTTGAACAGTTCAGGTTCAGGAAAATACTTTGGGTTTCTGTGTAGCCAAAATGGAGACAACATCAATAGGTCACCAGAAGGAATAGTAAAATTCTATGATAAAAAAAAAAATCGGTTCCAAATCATTTTTTAAAATTTCCTTTGAGGAGCATTTGGGTCTTTAAAAATAATGCTACAACTATATTGTAACAACAACAAACATTTCATAATTGATGGTGAGAAAATCTATCTTTTCTGGACAATTCCCTTCTACTATACAACTTGGCAATGACTGACTTCTATTTTGATTATTAGTTATACCTACATATATTTGATTACATAGAGGAAAATATTAGGTAAGTGTCAGAATTTTAGAAATGAGTATTAATCCATTCCAAAGCAGCTTTTGATGTTTGATGTTGGGGTTTGCAGCCAGTGTTCTTCATGGAAACCACAATGAATCTCTAAGTTGTGGTAAAAAAAAAAATCTAACTCTTAAGACAGGGACCATGGTCACTGTAGCACTGAGGACAGAAGTAGTTGTGTCCTGTCCCTGAGAATACTGAAGATAGTGTCAGGGCAGGGGTCAGTGGATTATTTTATTTTTTAATTATTATTATTATTATTTCGATCCAACAGCAGTTATTGGGGCGGGAAGAAGTTAAGGACAACTGGTTAGGAAAACACAGGAAAAGTCAAGTGTTGTGCATTTATTTGGTGGGGTTTATATTTGGGGTTGCCATACTCATGGGACTGGGAATAAACAAGCGTTTTCTGAAGCAGAAGAGTGGATGTCATCCTTTCCAATTCATGTGCTAATAAGTTTTCCTGATCTATAGATTATACACCCAGAACTAAAGCTATTTCATAGAATCTCCTTTTCCTCACCATTTGCGGGAACCACAAGACAATATCCCCAAGTTGTGTGATCACTAGAAGGTGACCAACTTTACTGTAATGAAGTATTTTATGAGGTAATGCTCAGTCATCCTAAGCATGTCTGTTTAACTCTGCATGACTTTGAAATATTCTCACAATATCTGAAAAATACTTTGTGTATACAAATGATACACCTCACAATTTAAAATAGGTCTTTTTTATTGTAGCAGAGAGTTGCCAGAACCCCTGTCAACTCCTATGGGAGTTGAATATGTTGAGATTTGGCAAGTAAGAGGAGAGCTGGGGAGAATCAGCTCCCTAACTGGAAACAGCAAGGCTTTAGCTGGGGGTCTTCTAACCATTTTAAAAAGAAAAGGAGAACTCTGAGATTCCAGTCCTCAATGTTCATTTTATTTCTGCTGGAATTCAGGCTAGAGGGGTCATAATTACTTCTAAATCAGTTCTACAGGTACCTAATGTGTATGTGGGGGAGGAACTGGGGGCAGCTCAGGAAAAATTCTGTCCCTCCCCACCTCACCCCATGGTCCCCACTGTTGTGATTATCACTTGGAGACTGCTCACTGCTGCCACCCACAAATCTGGCTACAGAGTAAAGGGAGTAAAGGAGACTTCAAACAGGCCTCCAGGAACAAAATTAACATTAGCAAGAGGGAAGACACAAGAAAGAATCTTCCAGTACGATGATGAATAGCAGAAAAGAACATGTTAGCTGGTTGCATCATAGAAATCCTCTGAAAAGGCTAAGGAATCTCAATCTTTGTTTACATAACAAATGAAGAGAAAGATGGAGAGGAAGACAGAACATTGGCAGGACCAGAATGTAGATCCCCAGTAAAGGGAAGTTAACATCACTCTGTGTTGCAATAACTGCATGGTGCAGACTCACAGAATTGAACCTGGCCAGCCCACCTCACCTGGATGCTGTGAGGCCAAATGAGTTTCATCTGCTAATCTGGAGGCAGTCCTTGCTTGAAGAGGGAAGAGAAGGGAAGACTTCCTCTTGTAACTTAAGAAAGGGTATCAAGAGCTAAGTGGGTATAAGTGGGTGTAAGCAAAGTTGAGTCCTGAAGAGAAAGAAGTAGTCCTTCAAAGGTAAAGGTGAAAGAAAGAGGAAGGGAGAGAGGGAGGAAGGAAGAAAGGAAGGAAGGAAAGAAGGAAGGGAATCTGAGAATTTATGAAAAGGGAGCAGTAATAACATAAAATATGTTTAAAGAGACTGTCATGAGAGAAAACAGATGAGCCAGTAAAATGAGGAGAACAAATTATAGATCAATCTTTCTCACAAAATTTGACCAGAAATCCTTAGACAAATATTAACAAAATAAATCCAACAATGCAGAAAAGGAATTATATACCATGATCAAATGAGATTTACTCCAGGTATGAAAGGTTGGTCTGACTTTCAAATATCAGCAAGTTTAATCCACTATATCAATAGGATAAAAAGAAAATACAACAATCAATCCATGCAGAAAAGTACTGGACAAAATTCAATCCATGGAGCTGGGGATGTGGCTCAAGCGGTAGCATGCTCGCCTGGCATGCGCGGGGCGCTGGGTTCGATCCACAGCACCACATAAGAATAAAATAAAGATGTTGTGTCCACCGAAAACTAAAAAATAAATATTAAAAAATTCTCTCTCTCTCTCTTTAAAAAAAAAATTCAATCCATGATGAAAGTTATCAGAAAAGTAGAGAAAAGCAAAATTTCTTCAATTTGATAAAGCACATCTAAAAAAAAAAAAAACCTTAAGCACAACTTTATATTAATGGTAAAAGATAAAACATTTTCAGGCCGGGGATATAGCTCAGTTGGTAGAGTCCTTGTCTTGCATGCACAAGGCCCTGGGTTTGATCCTCAGCATAAATAAATAAATAAATAAATGCTTTTCACTCTAGATCAGGAACACAGGAACAAAGTAATATCTGATGTTTCCACTAGTAGTCAACATAGTGCTGGAAGTTAGTGCCAGTGTAATAAAGCAAGAAAATAAAATAAAAGGCACACAGATAACAGAGAAAGAAACAAAAATATTGTCCACATTAAAAAATTCCTATAATCTATAAAAATACTCCTAGAGTCAATAAACAGTCAATAAATTATGTTTAGCAAAGTTGCAGATACAATGTCAACACACAAAAATCAAATGTAATTTCTATAATTAATATACAACTGAAAACCAAACTTTAAAAAATATCATTAAATAAAAGTTCCAAAATGAATGATATGTTTAAGTTATAAATATTTTAAAAAAAAAACACCCACAGGATCTGTTTGCTTAAAGCAACAATTAAGAATACCTACTGACAGATGAATAACTAAGTTGTAATTGCTAATTATTTACTAATCAAAATACAAATGTGTCTTAATAAAAGTTCAATAAAGTTGTAGTACCATTCAGGGATTAACATATTGCTCTACTTAACTAAAACCAAGCAGAATATTTCCTCTCAAAGAATATTCTCACGCATAGTCACAACTTGAATCAATTAATAATTTGATTAATGAAAAACATGGAACTGTCCTGCTAAAACAAAAGTCTATAATTTATGTGAGACCAGTTAAACAAACTTTGTCTCCTTGGAAGAAACACTCATTAACTATTATAAAATTTGAATTTTTATCTCTTTTGTGTTCTACTCCAAAATTCTCTTGGTTTGAATTCAAGCACTCATAAGCTATGTATTAACAAAAGTAAACAAGGGTGAAAGACTGAGTAAATGTGATCTCTAGAGAAAATGCAGGCCGTAAATCAAACCACTCTAAAATAAATTCATTCTGCCTGATTGATTCACAAATATGTAATGGAAAGTCTGCCAATGTACACATACCTTTTCATGGTGCACATGAGAATATTCCCCTGCTTTTCATAGAAAGCCCTTCTCTTCCTCACTCAGCTGTTGACTCCTAGTATCAACTGAGATTATCCATGACTTTCCTGCTATCTTTTACCATATCTGCAATCTGTGGCCTGAAATCATCTTCTAGTTATCCAAAAGAATTTTTTTCACATTCTGAACTCCTCAACCCATTGTGGCTTGGGAACTAATTGGTTGAATTGGCAGAGAAGAGACCATCTGATCCACCTGCTTGATTTGAACAGGATGACACTGATTCTAACATAGGATCACGTGGTCAAAAAGATGAGCACAAGGTTATATTCTACATTAATGAAATGGTGCCTACAACTTATATTAGTAACCTGCCCCAGGGTCACTTAGTGCTTACTAGAATTTCAGGACTTGTATAATAATGTGTGCTATCAAAATTCCAATGACATTTTCCACAGAAACAGAAAAAATAATCCTAAAACTCACATGGAATCACAAAAGACCCTAAACAGCCAAATCTATCTTGACCAAGCTGGAGGCATTGTGCTATGTGACTTCAAAATATACTACAAAGTGATACAACCATACAACCATGATCAAAACCTCACGGTTGGGGCTGGGGCTAGGGCTCAACAGTAGTGCACTTGCCTGCCATGTGTGAGGCACTGGGTTTGATTCTTAGTACTGCATATAAATAAATAAAGATCTATCAACAACTAAAAATAAAACTATTTTTTTAAAATCATGGTACTGGCAGAAAAACAGACACATAGACCAATAGAACAGACACACAGACTAATGGAAGAGACACATAGACCAATGGAACAGAATACAGGGCCCAGAAATAAATACATGAATTTAAAGTCAACTGATTTTGATAGAGGTGCCAAGAATACACAATGGAGAAAGGATAGTCTCTTTAATAAATGGTGCTGTATGCAGAAGAAACATGTCAGATCCTTATCTCACAAAATTTGCAAAACATCAACTCAAAATGGATTGAACTTAAGACCAAAATTGTAAAGCCAGTAAAATACAACATAGGGGGAAATCTCCTTGATAATTTTTTGCATATGAACCCCAAAGCATGGGCAACAAAAGCAAAAACTGACAAATGAAATTACATTAAATTGAAAAGCTTCTGCACATCCAAGGAAACAATCTTTACCAAGTAAAGAGATACTATAGAATGAGAGAAAATATTTGCACTTCATACTGAGAAGAGTTAATATCACAAATATATTAAGCACTCAATAAAAAGAAAAAAACTGATTAAAAAAAGTCAAAGGATATAAATTGACATGTCTCAAAAGAAGTCATACTAGTGGCCAACAGGTATACAGAAAAATAGTCAACATCACTAATAATCAGGAAAATGCAAATCAAAGCCATAACAACACTTCATACCTGTCAGAATTTCTATTATCAAAAAGATAAGTGTTAGTGAAGATGTGGAGTAAAGAGAAGCCTTGCAAACTGTTGCTGGTTTGTAATGTAAATTAGTACAGCCATAATGGGAAAACAGTATGGAGATTTCTTAAAAACTTAAAACTACCATATAATCCAGCTTCCTCAGTACTTAGCATATTTTCAAAGAATATGAAATCTGTACACTAAAGAGATACCTGCACTCCCATGTTTACTTCAGCATTCTTTATAGTATCATGATATGGAATCAACCTGTGTCCATCAGCAGATAAACAGATAAAGAAAAATTCACACATACACACCAAGAAATACTATTCAGCCTTTTAAAAGAAGGAAATCCTGTCATTTGCAACAACGCAAATGAGCCTGGATGACATTATGTCAAATGATATACACAGAAACAGACAAACAAATACCACACACAGTGACACTTATAAAGTAGAATCTAAAGACGTTGGAACCAGAAGAGAGGAAAGAATGAGAGTTACCGGGGCTGAGGGACCGAGAGGGACCTGAAGAAATGTTAGTCAAGTGATACAAAATTTCAGTTATATAGTAAAAATGAGTTCAAGATATCTATAGTGTAATATGTTGACTATAGTTAATAACAATGTATTGTATTCTTGAAAATTGCTAATAAAGACATGTTGAAAAATAATAAGTATGTGAGACAATATATATGTTAATTAGCTTGATTTAGGCATTCCACCTGTATGCAAACTACAAAACCTTCTATATGATAAGTATATTATATATATATATATATATATACACACACACACACATATATATCCAAATATATATATTCAAATTTAATTCATCCTTTAAAAATAAGTTAAAATTAATCAATAATGTATCAATTAAAAATAAAATATAGAAGCAAATAGGTACTTTTTTTTCCTAGAAGATTGATCATTTTAAAACAAAAACCCCAAAGCTTACCAAAATTTTAATTGGCTTTATTACTTTTCTAGTAATAATACCAGGGGCTCTTAACCGAATGGTTTCCAAAATGCACCATTTAATGAGAAGGAGCTTCTTCAATTCTTTCTCAGTCACTTTAATCTTGTCTTTACCTGCAAAGAGAACTTCTTTAAAATGCAAAAAAAAAAAAAGAGATAAGCTCAAGAGACTAGAAAGTGATTTTCTGTAAAGCGCCTTAACAGAGGGTAAATGCTATCTCTGGCACGTAAAATGTTACTGTTGCTATTACTTTCTGCCTCTTATTCTGTGACAGGATGTGTTGGTATCCACCTTGGCTCCCACGGTCTTATGATTATGAAATGACAGAGATAGCCCTTATCGGGAAGGGGTTCAGTTTTCCCTCATCTCATCCTTTCTCATCCAAATTAAGAATTCCTATTATAACAACAATAAAATTGTGGCATCAAATGTACAACGAATAAGCCATAAAAAGCTACCTGGCTTTCTTTTTCTGTCTTTTCCCTGACAATTATTTTTTTTTAAATCATTCATTTCAAAAGATCCAAAAAGAACATTTAGAGAGGGACAGTGGTCTCTGGGACCTCAGCTGGAACTGTGAGTGTGCCCTCTCAGGATGGGAGCTGTGACTTTCCTGAAGTACATGTGTACTTTAATATTTAGAAGAAGGAACCTGGAAAAGGATTAGAGGTCAATCTTTGTATGGTCAGGCTTCTCAGTCCAATTAGACAGCCTAGAGAGTGATATTTCAAGAAAAATATTTGCTTTTTGAAAATTACTCAAGACAACACAGCATTCAGTTGGTGTGGACAGTACTTGCTTAGTAAAAGTCAACAACATTGTCAATATAATTAAGCTGAACCATTCCTCTTTTCATTTCTACTTCTTGGCCATTTGGGGAGAGGGCGGGTGAGAGTGAGGTAGGGGATCTCCATCCGTGTCTCTTGGACTCTGCACATGCATGTGTCCTAATGCATAAATAGCTGTTGAAGAGCAACCACAAAAATAATACTAACTGAAAACCATCTTGATATGGCATGAAAAGAGAGTGGTAGCACAATCTTTACTTGCTTTCTACTTTTCTTGAACTATCTCTATGTTTCTTAAGGGACAGTTCAGGAAAATAATTTAGAGAGTCTATAGCTGAACTTAGCAATTCTTAAAATGACTTGAGATTCTGCATATGTAACAAATATCATTTCACAGTTGGTAACTTAATGGAGAACAAAGTATGTGTCATTTCAGGAAACCAGGAAATTTAGGTATCAGAAGGTCTTTACCATCAAAAAGACTGTAAATTAAAATTGAAGAAAGGACAAGTACTTTCTTTGAACAGTTAAATAGAAATTTAAAGGTTGTAATTGGTGGATTAGTTTATGAGTGACACACACAGAGTAGTGCCTAGCATGTAGTAAGTGCTCAATACAAAACATTGTTTGTAACTGCTACCGTTACTGTTAGTATGAATTTCATGGTTCTATAGGATCCATACTTCCTAATATGGTTTTATTCCATAGCTGATACATTTTTTTTTCCTGAATCCTTTATTGGGAGAAAAATCTATAGATTGGAGGAACACACCTAATACTATTTTGACATCATGTATGAGGAACTATTTCAATTCCTCTGCTCTGGTTTGGATATGGTTTGTTCCTGTGCTGTAAGCTTGGTCCTGAATGCAACCTATAAAAAGGTGTGGGACCTGTACATGGTGGAACCTAGAGGGAGGTAATCAGGTTGTACTCACCTGATGAAGGGGGTAATGCTTGCCTTACATGACTGGATTATTTATTGAAAGATGGGGTTGGTAAAAAGTGAGGATGCCCCCAGTGCTTGACCTCTCCTGCACATAGTTGTTTCCCTTTCTGATTCTCTTCCATGTTGTGAAATAGCCATGGACTCTCTCTAAACACACAAGGCTATTTAGACTTTCTAGCCATCAGAATTGTGAGACAAATAAATCTCTTTTCTTTTCAATTTTCCCAGCTTTGGATATTCTGTTATAGTAACACAAAACCAAATATGATACTCACTCCATAGATATTTATTGAGCACCTCTAGCAAGTTTGTAAGTGCTAAGTATAAAGATGAATGTCAGGGCACTGACTCTTAATAGCCTGATACAGGTGACAAACAACTAAAAGGAGTTAACTTGTAATAAGTGCTACCACATTAGAGTGTACTACTGCCTGTGGGCTCAACAGTGGTGACAATGACCAGACAGGAAAAGGAGATGTTGAAGAGACTTCTTAGAAGTAAAATTTAAAAAAAAAAGTCAGCTACCTGAAGATAAAGGGCATGTCCAGATAACAAGAATTCATGTGTCTGGAGCAGAGTCTAATGCAGAAGGTAATTAGATCGATCAACTGTGGATGAAGGTCCAAATAAGCCATCACACTTGGTTCACTGGGGTTGTAATGGGTCTACCCTCTTTCCCAAGGTGCTCCACTGAGTCCAGTATGCTCACAGCAGCTGAAGTCAGAGATTGTGATAGATGGCTCCTTTTCATCTATCCAGACTCTCAATGTATCCCAGGACTGTCAGGTATCAGTTCTGGGTTCTCCTCTCTTCTCTACCTACTTTATTTCCCTGGAGGAATCCAAACAAACCTCTTTTTTTAATATATTAAATAATTTGGATAATTATGTTTTGATGGGCTCCTCCAAAAAGGGTAAGATTCCATTTGTTTTGGATCTTGTTTCTCCTATTCCCTGACTTACACTCAGTATCTGACATAGTGCCTGATACATATTATGCACTCCATATATTTTTATTGAATGAATGAATGTATATTTAATATGGTGGTAGGATCAATTAAGAAACTTGAAGCAAGGACCTTGGCATTAGACCAGAGACCCTGCACTTACTAGAAGAAAAAAATAGGCCCTCTAACATGTTAGCTTAGGAACCAACTTCAATAAGATTCCTAAAGCATAAGAAGTAAAATCAATAATCAATAAATGGGATGGTATCAAACTGAAAAGCTTCTTCGTGGCAAAAAAAAAAATCAAGAATGTGAACAGAGATCTTGCAGAATGGGAGAAAATCTTTACCACCACTATGGAAAGCAGTATGGAGATTACTTAGAAAACTTAGAATGGAACCACCATTTGACCCAGTTATCCTACTCCTTGTTATATACCCAAATGACTTAAAATTAGCATACTACAGTGATGCAGCCACATCAGTATTTATAGCAGGTCAATTCATAATAGCCAAGCTATGGAAACAACCTAGATACCCTTCAATAGATGAATAGATAAAGAAAATGTGTTATATATACGCATTGGAGTATTACCCAGTCATAAAGAAGAATGAAATAATGGCATTTGCCAGTATATGGATGACCTGGAAAATATCATTCTAAGTGAAATAAGCTAATACCTCCCAAAAGCAAAGGCTGAATGTTTTCTCTGTTTTGTGGATGTTAACCTAAAACAAGGGAAGTTGGGGAGGGGAATAATAGAAATCCATTGGATTAAATAAAAGGAAATGAAGGATAGGAAGTAGGAGGGGAAGAGGAAAGACAGCAGAATTAATCAGGCATAATTTCCTAGCCTTGTATTTGAATACATGACAGGGTAAATTTGCACCATGTACAACCATAAGAGTGGGATCCTAAATAGAAAAAGTTGTACTCTATGTATGTATAATTTGCCAAAATACATTCTACTGTCATGTATTACTAAATAAGAATTTTTAAAAAAGCAGGGTGAGGTGGTGCACATCTGTACTCCCAGCTCTTCAGGAGGTGGAGGCAGAAGGATTACAAGTTGTAGGCCGACTTGGGTAACTTAGTGAGATCATGTCTCAAAATAAAAAAATAAAAAGGAGTGAGGATGTAGCTCAGTGACAGAGCATGGCTGAGTTTAATACCCCAAAACCCAAACAAACTCACTTGTAGTTTGTGTAGGGCAATGGGAGAGATTTAGAAAAGTCAAATTTGAAAGATATTTCTGAGGGACAATACGAGGATATTTTAAAAAGAATATAGTAAGAACCTGGTATATACTGGACCAGTGGTTCTCCAACATTAAGTGTATATTACCATCATGCGAAAGGGTTGTTGAAATACAGATTGCAGGACCCAAGAGTCAGTAGGCCTGAGGGGGCCCAAGAATTTAATATTCTTCCAAGTTCTCAGGTGATGTTGATGCTGCAGGCCCCAGGATCATATTTTTTAAAATATTTTTTTAGTTATAGATGAACACACAATATCTTTATTTATTTTTATGTGGTGCTGAGGATCAAACCCAGTGCCTCACATATGTGAGGCAAGTGCTTTACCACTGAGCTACAGCCCCAGTCCCCAGGATCATATATTAAGAAACACAGTGCTAGATTAAAAGATGTAGAAAATATCCCTGGATTTTATTAAACATCCTGGACTTAAAACAGTTCTTATTACTAGTTCTTAAATGATCTCTTCTATTTGAAGAAAATAGAGACAAACATACTAAGTGAATAAAAATGACAATTTAAATCAGAAACCCCGAGTATCAATGTTACCAACTGAAGGCTTTTATCAGCATGAACGTACAAGATGAAAAGGACTTTTACTTTTTATGAACCATAAAATTAGATAATGTGATGATTAATTCTAAACTTTTAATTAGCCAGAATTTTAGAAATGTGCCCCAATTATATCATTTTTGCAGCTCAAAAAGTGTTATCCTCATCAGAAAAGGAATGCCAACACACCTTCTGGGGTCCCTGGCTGAGCTTGCCATGTGGCCACATATAAACTGGCCCTAAAAGCAGTAATTCTCACCTGTTTCTATGTCATCTGTAGCTGCTTTTACATCATTGTGGCAAATTTTAAAAGAGGCCACATAAAGCCTAAAATATTTACTTTCTGGCCTTATATAGAAAAAGGGACCTCAAGGGAGCAAGCTATCAGTTTGCTCCTCATTGTACCTCCAAATGCTAAAAAGTCCAGATTTTATTTCAGCATTTAGATTTTACAAACACTATAAATTCTATGTTGTCTTTACTGTTCCTATTATTTACATAAGCTTGTCAAGTATACAATGCATAGTATCTGTATAACCCTGTAAAATACAGTTATTTTATAAGGAAAACATAGACCATAACTAAAGGGGAGAAATCTTTGTGTAAAAGATATGCTATTATAATGGTCTTCAAATTA